AGGATATGAATACATTTGAGGACGACTGTCTGTAAACACTTTTTTTCAAGTATTGGTAAAAATGTTTGTGTTCATGTGGATTCCAAGTTTTCTCAATTTTTGTGAGATAAATAATCAAAGAAGTTCCACTTTCATTTTTATTTTGCATTTATGACTTATGGCATTATCACTGTGTCATCCTACACAAAGACATGTCTGAGGTCTCTTCACTTCCAGCTCTGGTTGTGTTGTTTCTATGGAGGTGCAGGACTTAAAAATGAGCCCACAGTGAGTTAAAGTGTGACGAGACAAAAACCAGCTCAGAGGGTTAAACGACACAGTAACCAGCTACAACCCAAAAAAATCTGAAATGGAAATCTCTACTTGAAAAGAAGACAATGTGACAACTGAAGAAGCGTTTAGTGTTCATCCCTTGAAACATTTCAGACACCCTGTTTGGCATTATTACCTTCTATAGCCGGAGGCGGGGAGGCAATGTGACAGAGGACCCTCAGAGCAGTGACCAGCCCGGTTCCCTCAGCAGTCAACACATTCTCCACATTCTGCAGTCAAAAGAAAACCATGTTGGGAGTGTCATGCAGCACTTATTTGCATATAGCTCACAGCCCCATGGCGGATATATGCATCGGAGAGGTTCAGACTTGTCGATGACGCTCTGCATTCCAAGCAGATATATGACTGCCTGCTTTGACGTACAGCATCGGATCAGAACGTACATCTGAGTATAAATACCTCCTGTTTGGGTAATAGTTTATGGAGATCTTATGCATCAGAATAATGAGTCACCTTGTCAGCTGGCCTGTTTTCCTCTGCTAATAAATGGAATCAGCTCTTTAAATATCAACTCATTAAAAGGGGCAGGGTGAGCCTCGACTCCCTCACTTAATAGACTCCCTCAATTAGGTGCTATAGACAAATCTTTGGCTTCTGTCCAAACATTGCTAAGTGAATTAAAAGGACTCCGGAGTTATTAGGCCTGTCTGCAGGTAATATAGGAAGATGAAAGCTCGCACTTATCAGAACTGAAGACGCAGTAAAGCGCCGCATTAATTCAGCAAGATGCATATCGAGTGAGAGATCCGTACCTGCTTGATGTAGTCGATGAGGGTAGGAATGCTGCCAATCTCAAAGCGAAGTTTCTCCAGAGGCTCCAGCCATTTGTTGAGCTCTGAACGGCAAAAAGACACACAAAGATCAGTGTTAGCTCAACTATGATGAACGATACTAGCTGACAACCTATTTTTCAGGACAAAACAAAATTATAGCTGAATAAAAAGCAATATTTCAAGACAGGAACTACAGAAAATATTTTCTTTTTTCACTGATGGATAGAAATCATGTTAAAAATGAATGAATGAAGTGTTTTCAACGAGCTGCAGCTTCTGTGGAATAATAACCATGTCTTCTTCAGTAGATTTATCAGTTTTATCTGTTAATTAAGAAGCTTCTTGCATTCAGGCAGTGATGTTATCAGACGGTTCTTGAAAGTAAATTGAACCAAACTCATCTACAAAGAACAATAAGAAGCAGATAAAAATAGCTGAAAAAACCACAAACATTCAGGCAACAATAAACAGAAAGGTAAATTAACATTATTTTCAGTTGCAAATCATCACACGTTACTGTCTGAAAAAACAAGTCAGTTCCAGTATTAATGACGGCTTTAAATCTAAAGCTTCACTAGAAATAATGTTGAAAACTGTATTAAGGTTTCATAACTATTAGTGTCAGAGTGGTGACAGCTAGAGGCTCAAAGTAGACGCTATAAAAACACAAATATGATACCAAAATGTCATTGAGGAAAACTACCACAAGACAAAAACAAATCTGAATTTACTGCCACAACTAACACTGACGCAGACACCAGCAAAACTGTCCTGCACAGTGTGACGCTAGTAATATTTACCCTGTAGCTTGGCATTGGTGTCATCTGCTTTGGCTAAAGTGAGCAGCGGAGCAGCGTATTGTTCCATCATCCGCAGCTCGTTGGACGTCTGCACCACCAGCAGCACCAGCATGCAGGCGTAGTTGTAGGTCACTGCTTTGCGCGCTTTGGCTTCACTGTCAGAAAAAGAAAAAGACAAAAATGGAACAACATACTGAAATCGAAGCGCATAACAAAGTCATTTTTAATAAGGGATATGGAACATTGCTGCTTTATCGGTCTGTTAAAGTGACGGCATTTTGACTTTAAGACAGATTTGTGTGTCCTTTGCAGCTTCATTCAGACAATTTCTTTAACCAATAGCCAGTCTTGCTTATAAAAATTGATTGATTATTTATCAAAATAGCATTAAAAAATCTATTTTGTTTTGTAGTCCTGCTGCTCCTAAATGTTCCCAGCATTTTAATGACCTAGCTTAGCATTAGCATGAGCCTCAGATAGCTAACTGTACAGCTGCCAGACAAAGTTAGCCTGTTTTCATCATAATGAACTTTTATTTTATTGGACATTTTCATCTATAATAGATGTTAAATTGTAGAGCAAAGTGAATGAGAAAGGTAAGTGTTGCAGCAAACTGTATTTTACTCTCTGTGATGTTTTGGAACCAATATTGGTGCAGAAATGTGGAAAAAAGTTCCCTGATTGCTTGACATGTGTCGCAAGTACTAAAGAAACAAGCAGAAGGAGCAGACAGCCGTACCCTTGTCCATCCTTGCTGTGATGCTGGAGCAGCGTAACCAGACAGGACAGGTTGTTGTCCAGGCTGAAAACATGCGCTACGGCACTGCGGCCCGTCTGTGTGAAGGTCATGAGGTAGAGCGCGTGGAGCATGCCCAGAACCTCCGCGTTGTCACCCTCCTCCAGTCCTGCGCCGCCGTCTCCCCCTGCAGCCACGTGGCTCATGAGCTCCGACACGCCCTGCAGAGCGTGAAGCGCCTGCATCAGCCAAACGCCGAAGCCCTCCTCACCAAACCCGGGCCCTGCGGCGCCTCCGTCTCCTCCAGTGAACGTGCTCTCCTCGCCCTCGGACTCTGCCATCGACGCCAGCAGACGCAGCAGCAGGTTGGTGGGCGTCGGCTGGGCCAGGAGGAAGAGCAGGCCTGACTGGGTGATGGACAGGAAGCGCAGCAGCTCCCTGACAGCTTGGGTGACACCGACGTGACCGGCTGCAGCCGCCGCTGACAACACCGCCGCCGTGCTCTCCAGGAAATGACTTGCATGCATATACCTGAAAGGAGATAAACATGGAAATGCAAATGAGTCGAAAGCAGGGATCATTCTGATGCATCTGCTTTGAATGTGGCCACATGGCAGAAGTTGATCCGACAGGTTGAGCCACATGACTTGGGCCGTCTCTCTGATGTAGAATATCAGCCACTGAGGCCACAAAGCTGCTGTTTTAGTGCATTCATCCTGAGAACTCTGTCCGACATTCAGCATCACAAAAGACTTTCTCATGGTGGCCCTTCACTAACTAAATTCCCATAATGCTCTCTGCTTGCCAAACAGAACAGCCGGACTGAATGACTTCCTCCTCTTGTTGCTACACTAAGAGGCCCCACCTGGTGGAACAACCAGGTACTACAGGTAATCTTCAATACATTCTCTGACATGCATGTCCGTCGCTATCTCTCTGATCGATCAATATATTTTCAATGATTGAATTATTAACGGCCATAATCAATTAATCGTTGACATCCTTAGTCAAAACGAGGTTTACCTTGTCTGAACTTCTACACTGCAAGATTTCAATTTCATGTGTAATAGTCTATTTAAATTTCAAGCATGACAGCTCATTTTAGTGTGTAATATTTTAGTGCAATATTTCATTCATGTGCAATAGTTCATCATTATCATATGTAATATTTCATTATCATGTGCAATATTTCCTTTTCATGTGTAATTATTCATTATTATGTGCAAAAGTTCCATTTTATGTTAATATTTTATTATTTTCATGTGTAATATTTCATTATTGTCATAGCTGCATTTTTTAAAATTTAATTTGCAATATTTCTTTATAATCATGAGTAATATTAATTTACTGCTACAGTACCTTTGCCTGCACAAGTTCTTACTTCAGTCTTTTTTTAGTTATTTTTGTAATGTATCATTCTTATATCTTCTTGTTTTTTTTATTAGGCACTGAATTTATTCTCATGTTATGTTTTTTCTTTTTTTTCTGAGTAATATCCAGCACAAGTACTGTTAATAAAGTTCTATCTTTTCTTATTTTACACTGTAAAATGTGAGGTCACGTGTGTGTGACTGTGCACCTGTACAGAGTTGGATATGGGTTGTCCCTCTCCTGTGGGCCTGTTATTCTAGCCGTGGTGGGGAACGCTTTGCCAGGCGGCTGCACCATGCAGTGAGAAGCCGTCTCCAGCAGGTGATGGAGCTCCTCCAGAACGCCTGCCATCCTATCAAGCTCTGCTTCGCTCACAGGGGGGGAGCTCAGCGACGGTTCTTCCTCCATTGGGCTCTCTGCATCTTCCATCTCCTCCTGAGGATAACGATCGGTCATTAAAAAGCCTCCTCAGTCTTTGAAGTGTGCGTGAGTGCATTGGTTTGGCCGTTACCTGCTGCGGTTCGCTCCACGCTGCTGCTGCATGCTGCAGGTCGACCAGCACCTCGTACATGTGGCTCTTCTGTAGTATGGCATTTCCAGCTGTTATGACCCTCACGGTTTCTTCACGCAGGAACAGCTGGACCAGACGCTGTGAAGCACATAAAGCTTGGCGTTAGATCTTAATGAGACAAAAACGTATCACATTCTTCCAACTTCTCAGTGTTTTATGTAGATGTGAAGGGCAGGAGGTCGGTCCTGCTCATGAGCTGCTCAATTTACATGCGCTGCATTTTTATCTCGATGGTGTTTCTGCTCATGTCCTAGTTTAACTGTGGGCTGTTTTCACCGCCCTATAAAGTCCTGCACCTCTATGGAAACAGAACAACCATTAGCTAAAAACAGAGAGAACACAGAAACGTCGTGTGTGCAGAATGACACAGTTATAAAGCCTTAACTTATGAAGGAAAAAAGTGTAAATATTTATTTACAAAAACTAAAAAAAAGCCTGAAATCAACATGTATAACATTTTTCCAAGTGCCCAGAGGTGTTAAAAACACTCGAAAAAAATGGTGGCTCTACATTTTAACAATCTCTACAAACTGTGTTTTTTTCTCAATGTATCGTAAATCCAACTTGCTCCCCTGTTTACCCTTTATGAGCCATGCTGCATGTATTTTATCAATCAAATACTTTATTTTCCTTTCAGTCCCTTCACTTTGTTTCATGCTTATTTCCTCACAATCCACAACTATTTTTACAACCTGCAAAAACTCACCATTTTTCACTCTACTCTGCACATCAACTAAAGAAAGATGTTTCACCATGCTGAAGGTATCTTCTAACAACTTGCTTGCCATGCTGCATTTGTTTTATTGATCAGGTATCTATCATCTGCTGTCAGTCTCTCTAATTTGTTTACAACTTCTCTTTTACCGTCTCTTTTCTGCTCTGTTTAAACATAGCCTGCATATTACCCGAATGAGAATGATAGAATACAGTACATTTTTAAAGAAATATCACAATTTCAGGCTTAGATTTGGTTAATTTCACAATTTGAACCAAATGTCTCGCATAATTAGTTCAACTGCCATCGCAAAGCTGAATTTTTTTTGTTGGTTTTTTACAGTTTTAGTCTCTTACAAATGTAAGAGTTTGGCAATTTCTTGAAAATAACATGCCTCTAAAAGCTTCTGTCGGGATTTGGGGTTCAGGATATTAGGTGTTCATTTGTCACATTGCTTTCCGTGCAAGCAGTAATTGTATAAAGATTTTCGACCACTGGGATCCGTGCAAACACATGTAGGAGAAAATGATGAGAAAGTGTCGACTAAGTGTTGCTAACCTGATAGCCGCTCTTCTCTGAATCTCCTCCGTGCAGAAAAGCCTCCACCCCGGCAGGAGCGCTGATCAGAGCGTCAAGAGCTCTTAGGATGCTCAGCTTCAGCGTGGAGGAGACGTGGTCGGCATGGAGCAGCTCCAGCAGCACGCTCAGGGCCCCCTCGCGCAGCAGCACCGTGAGGCCCTGTGGACACTCGGCCAGGTATGAAGCCAACTTCGCACCGGCTTTTAACTGCCTGAGGTTCAGAGCGATGGGCTGCGTGAGAGCAACCTCCATACTCAGAGCCTGGAGGGTCCACTGCACCAAAACTCTGATGTGGTCCTCCATCTCTGCCTCTCCCTGTTTAATTAAATAAGCCAGCCCTTTGGTCAGGAGTCCGGGTGCCTCTTCCAGAGCGGTGACCCAGCGGGCGTCTCTGTCGTTGCCAATGCTAGTTAGCAGTTCTTTCAGGTGAGAAACAGCCTCGGCCTCCTCTCCGACTCCTTCTGTTCCACCAGCGTCCCGGGGCTCGTCCACGCTGGCCTTCTCAAACTGGGTGTCAAAGCGAGTCTTGTACGGAGGAGTGAAGTAGAGCAGTGGTCTGAGCTCCCGCTCGTACGGGTCGTACTGGACCGGTGGGACGGACGCGAGATCCTCAGGGGTGTAGTCCATGTCGAAGGTGGGCAGCTTAAAACTGCCGTTGTCAAGGTCGTCCTCATCGCTGGAAATCTGCTCGTAGCCATCATCGCCTGGTGGAGCAAAGAAAAGGGGAGAATTTGACAAAGTTTATCAACTGTGGAGGAACAATTAAAATGCTTCAAACATTGTCTGAGTCAGTCCGTGTCATTTTAGATCGCGATGTTGCTCCACCATCTCAGATTCTGTTCAGTCAACATATTTGTTATTTTGGAGCCCAAAGGTTCAGGAGAATATTTTGGCTCAATTTTGAGAATGTTACACATTTTAAAACCTTGGTTTTCTCATTTTCACCCTCAAAAAACATCTCACCAGTAAATGGATTTTAAAAGTTTATTATCTGCAGAAATACAACTCACATGTGTATGAAATCTGGTGAAGACAGACTAAATAGTTTCCAGCAGTTCCAAATAATCAAATGTCTAATTTTTGGTTAATGAAAATTCCAGAAAAGTACAAAGAAGTTGGTAAAATGTCAGCCAAAGACTGTATTTTTAGTAGGAAAAGTATAAACATCCATTTATATACACTTAGAGCAACTTTCTAGGGGGCAGGTACAACCAACATTTGAACATTTTTACCATTTTCAAGTACCAATAATGAAAAAATTAGGCTCTACTGGCGCCGTCGAAACATTTGGATCTCCTAGAAACAATTTTGTCTGTGTCCTCACCAAATGTAATGGCTGTGGGAGTTACACTTCTGGTGATATTGAACTCTAAATATGGCTTCGCAGTTAGAATCTTTAAAAACAACAATTTAAATGAGAGAATTTGCCAGGTGTAAAAATATTAAAATTCTCAAAATTCAGCCACAATGTTTTAAAGAACTTTGGTGCCAAATAACACATTTATGTGAACTGAACCAGGGCATGTGAGCAAAGCTGAGGGCGAGCAACAAATTTTGGACAAAGTCAAGACTGAATTTTTGAAAAAGATGGAGCATTTTGACTTTTTCCTGCTCCAATTTTGTTTTGGCATCGTTTACGCCACAAGCTGGGTGCACAATGTGGACAGAAACTAGACAACTCTGGTGATCTGCAGTGTTAAATGCGCTGTTGAAGCTTGAGCTTAAATAAAGATACAGTGCAAATTTTTCCTTTACTGGAGTTAGCGCTGAGCGATTTGTGTGGCAAGGGGTGGACATGAGAGGAGAATGTTTATCTCTCTGCTCACACCCCCTGGATTGAACAAACTCTAAGACAGTGCAGCAACATATTTCCTGAATTCTGTCTGAGATGACACAGACCGACCAGTCAACTGTTTCATAAGAATGTGTGCGGAAATGAGTGAGAATGAGGAGGTCGGCAACAACTAAAAACAAAAGTCCCTTTCTTAAACACAGACGCTCACAGAGCCACATGGCAGCATCACTCCAAACATGCAGGGTTAGTTGGGCATGCATGACGTGACTACAGCACACACTCGGCCATCGGGCGGAGCTCCACGTGACAGCTTATGCAGGTTAATCATAAGCCTTCAGAGTCTGCAGCATCCAGCGGTTGTAGATGGACGCAGCATGCCAGAGCACACACTCTCTCCAAGTCAGTCCCAAATGGACGCTGCGGCCCCCAGCGACGCCTCACCACGCTCTACTGTCAAAGGGCTTCAGGGCTGAGAGTCCATTTGGGATTGCAGACTGCCCTACTCTCACATAAGAACTCCCCTACCTTCCTCCATCTCCTCTTCCTCGTCCTCACCCTCATCCTCCTCCTCCTCTTCTTCCTCCTCCTCCTCAGGGGCACTCCCCTCGGTCCGGGTGTCTTCTTCCTCCTCCTGCTCCTCCTCTTCCTCCTCCTCGTCGCCCTCTTCCTCTTGTTCGGCGTCTGAGTAGGTTTCGTCGGCAGGCAGCGACCTTTCAGGTGAGACGGCTTCCAGGTAGTCGTCACGGCCTTCGCACGGCTCGTCTTTGATCACACCCACTGCAGAAGCGACACGATAAAACACATACACAGTTAACCAGGATACACACGGCACACATAAATATGCAAACTAGGAATTTATCTGCAAATAAGAGGCCTTCTTTGTGATGAGAAGGTTAGAGATAATACTGTTTTTAAAAATATTTTAATGCATTGACCCTCAAAATGTGCTGGTTTGTTAGAAAAGCATACTATCGCTAAAAGAAAAAACAAAAAATACATCGATCTGAGGCTGAGTGTGTAAAAGCAGAAAGAATCATCATATTTTCAACTTTGGGACAGTTTTTGATCATGTGTGTGATGTGCAATTCCATCAAAAAATAACCATATCTAAGCTTAAAGTTGCGATATTTCAATAAAAATAAATAAATCACTTTAGTCCTCGTGTAAAAATTTGCCAAAAATGTACTATTTGCACTGAACAGACTGAAAAGCCATGACGCAACCAACAGTCACTTGACAAAAAATTCACAGACTTATCAACTGAACTGCAGACAGTGTTACACAGAGCAGAGAGGAGACAACAGAAGAGATACCTGATTAACATAATAAATGCAGCATGGCTAAAAAAAAATGGTGTACAGAGCAGTAAGTTGTTGGAAGATGCATTCAGCATGCTGAAATATCTTTCTGGAGCTGATGTGCCGAATGGTGTATAAAACAGCGAGTTTGCAAAGGTTTTAATAATAGTTGTAAATAAGAAAATATCAATAACATATAAGACAGCAGTATTGGGTATTTGGATAAAAGATTACACATGCTGATTGCAGTTTTAACTTTGGTAAAATAAATGCATTTTAAAAATGAAGAAATTTCAGCTGTAAATGAAGAAATGCTACTTTTAAAAAGCTGCATTTTATAGCAACACTGGCGAAAAAAAACTCAGTAAATAATGCAGGATTTTTTCTCTAACTTTTACATTTAAAAACTTCTTTTTTTTTTAAAGATTTTTTCCCCCTTTTTTGGCTTTATTAGATAGGACAGAGAGAGAGACAGGAAAGTAGGGGGAGGTGAATGGGGGAAGGACCTGGCGCAAAGGGTCATGAGCGTGACTCAAACCCATGACCGCTGCGTAGGGGACCATAGCCTCTATACATGGGACGCTAGCTCAACCAGGGGAGCTAGAACGGCGCCCACAACTTTTGTTTTTCCACTGATTTCACATTTAATTAAGAGAAGACTGGACCTAGCAGAAGTATCTCTATCATCACTGAACAGTCGCTGACATAATGTGACAGCATCAAACAGATGTTTGGTTCTGACCCGTCATTTGAACCTGCTCCTCCTCGTCATCGTCCGGAGGTGGAGGTCCAGGTGGAGTACGAGGGCCTCTGGGTGCCGGTCTGGGTGGGCTGCCGTTGTACTGGTCATCTTTCTCCCATTCTTAAAGAAAAACAAAGGCGGCAACAGATTTAAGACATTAAAAAACTAGCATCCTATTCATGGGTTGCTCCACTTTGTTAGCTTCATCTTTTATTGCCCACCTTGTTTAACGATCCTCTTGAGCCCGCTCGGCTGCTGAGGAGGCGGAGGTGGAGGAGGAGGCGGCGAGTCCTGGTCGTGTCCATGCGAGCGCTCTGCCGTCCCATAAACTGCCACCGTCAGACTGGTGTACCAGCCACGCAGCACCAGGCCGTCTGTGTTCACCTGCACACACACACCTCAGTTATTCACAACTCAACACAGAAGAAGGATAGTCTAGTTTGCGAGCAGCCGTTTACCTTCCCGCTGGGCCTGAACACGATGGACTTGTTTTCATCGTACTCCAGACTGAGGGCAGAAAGCAAGACAGGACGGATTAAAACAAACGAGCAAATATAAACCAACTAAAGCCTGAAAAATCTTGTATTTGAGCATTTTTGTTTATTTATAGAAAACAGCATGCGTGTGTAGTTGCTATCTGTTAGTCTGAGATAAACCTCTTTATCACATAATTGCTGTGTAATTATGAAACAAAAAAATAAAAAAACTCCCTCTGACTGTCTAACAAAGCACATAAACCCTCATTTTTTAAAAAGCACACTTGTATCCTGGTGGCAAAGCAGTTTAGGTCGAAGTCAATGATTTCTAATGTGCAAGTCGAGACCTGTGAAGGATCAAAATTAGTGTTTTTCTTGTGAATTAACCTTCTAAATGTCAACAGGTTTGGGAGGCATGTTGTCTTTTTGCCACAATTACATCATTTATCAGACCCAGAAACTGTAAAATCAGAAAGAGTTTATAGGTGAAATTACCTCACTTCACCAGAACTGCTGCTGACAATTCAGGAGAGAAAAGCTGAAAGGGAAAACTATTCAGGAGCTAGTCCGATGATGAATAGTTTTTGTCATTTTTCAAGCAAAAATGCCCCCAGTGTTTTAGTCTGTACGACAAAACAAGGCTCCTGAGGGTGTTGCTTTCTTCTCTGGGAAATTATGAGATCTTAACAAATAGATAATTAACTCACTGAACCCCAAAGCGTGTTAATTTGAAAAAGAATAGTATCATTTATCAGAGCCAGAAACTATAAAAACAGATGAAATCACTGGATTTCTAACTTCCCAGCTGTACTGTCAAGAAAAACAACCAAATCTACGCTTATGTCCAAAAGTTTCATTTATAAACACGCCAAAAATAAACCATTTGCACTAAACAGATTCTGTAAAAGGCAAAAAATTCTGTGCTCCTTGACACAACTGAGGAGCCACAACTGACTCAGCTGTGAACAACAGTTGCATCAAGAAAATCCAGACTGTTTTCAGGTGAACTGCAGAGAGGAGACGACAAAAGGGGCAAAGAGGAAAATAACAGAAAATGTAATAAAAATATAGAAACATACTGGTTGATAAAATAAATGCAGCATGGCTCAAAAATGTTATCCAGAGGAGCAAAGATGCATTCAGCATGGTGAAACATATTAACAGCTGATATGCAGAGTGCTGTTTGCAGATGCTGTAAAAATATAAATAATAAAATATCTACAGTTTGCAGATTCACTGTTTTACCCCCATAGTGGTAAAAAACCTGCGGGAACTTGCAAAAAAAAAAAAGTTGGACATGTTGATTACATCCATCCATTATCTACATGCTAGGGTCGTGGGGGGCTGGAGTCTATCCCAGCTGACTCAGGGTGAAGGCAGGAGACACCCTGGACAGGTCACCAGTCTATCACAGGGCTACACTTAGAGACAGACAACCAAGCACACTCACATTCACACCTACGGACAATTTAGAATCACCAATTAACCTCAACATGTTTTTGGACTGTGTGGGAGGAAGCCGGAGAACCTGGAGAGAACCCACACTGCACGGGGAGAACATGGAGACATGGCAGAAAGATCCCGGGTGTCCTCCCCGGGGCGTGAATCGGCGACCTTCTTGCTGCGAGGCTAACCACCAAGCCACTTGCAGCCATGTTGATTCCATTTTTCCCACATTTTTATTAATTAAAAATATAGATTTTTTCTTTTTTTATTGCGATTTGTGCTGTTATAACTGTGTTGTAGCGCACAGAAGACATTACGTTCTCTCTCCTTCTAGTCACGGTTGTTCTGTTTCCGTAGAGGTGCAGGACTTTATGCTGCAATAAAAAATGAGCCCACAGTGAGTAAAAAAAGGATCTAAAATGGTTCGATTTCAGAGGGTTAACTGCAACTCTGAACCTCTACAAGCCTCTCTAAACTATTCAAATAAAGCACTCACTCTTTGGCTAAACTGGTTACAACCTGCTGATATATGCAAATTGTCCTAATTAGACACCAAGGTAACAATTACGAAAGGTTAGTTTTAATCACGCGACATAACCATAATATCCTGAGATCCAACATGGCCTCTGCTGTTAGATGTCCTGCCCCAAAAAGGAAAACAAACAAACAAAAAAAAGCTTATCTCGTACAACAAATAAATGGAATTTGAAGTATTATTATGGCACCCTGAGTAAGAGAGATTTCTGTCACATCTATTTATAACATTTGGAAGATACTTCAGCAGCAGTCACACAGGCTCTCCTCCCAACTTTCCCAGCAGAGATAATAACTCGGGTGTGTCGTATTTACAGATTTCAATAACTCTGACACAATGGGCCGCTCTAAACACTGGTTTACGCTCCGGTGCTACTGTGCACACCTCTGTCATTACGGCGGTTGGAATCAAAATGCTTGACTCAAACATTCCACTACTCCTCCATTTCACCGAGACCTCCAACTTTTCGTGTCACTTCCAGCTACAGTATGGGTGGGGTTGGGTTTCTGGAGAGACCAGTCGGCCGGCATGGGGAACAAAGACACCTGAACCTGGGTGGGAGCACGCTGGGCCAATGAGAACAGGGCTGGGATGCGACCGCGGACCGGTTCGACAGGTGAGACAGACTTCTGCATCTTAAGCACTTTTGAGATCTCACCGTGAACTATAAAGAGGCGACTCAGGAGGTTTAAAGAAACGAGATTGAAGAGGGTGAAAATAATTCTGACCTGCCCAGTCTGTGGAAGGTGGGGCTGTTGGGTTTAGCGGCATTATTGAAGAACAGCTCCAACTGGAAGGCGTGAGGAGAAGTCTCCCTGGAAACACAGAGACACAAAGAGCAGTGATGAGACAATCGGAATAAGTTATACATCAACATTAGGGTGCAATGTATGACGATAAATTCACTTTATTAGGTTACAATCTAATGCTTATTTAACCACCTGAACCCAGAAACCTGCTTTGAAAGGCGTGGTGTCGTTATTTTATTTTTTTTATTTAACCTTTATTTAACCAGCTCTTGCAGTTTCAGGTCTTTTTGTAAAGGGTTCCAGGTAGAGGGAGCAGCGGATTCAAAAGTTTTCTTTCCCTGTTTTGTTCTAGCCTTAGGAACAGACGGTAGCAATGGATCCAGACTGTAACCAGCTTTTGTACAAATAAAAACCTGTAAATAACGAGGAAGCAAACCTAAAATGCATTTATAAATTAAAATATGCCAGTGTTTTTTCCTTCGTGGTCAAATCTGACCATCCAACACGAAAGTACAACAAACAATGATGAGTAAAAGATTTAAAATAAAAAAATCCTCCTAATTAAAATATTTATCCAAGCCAGAAGCTGTAAAATGTGTATGTGACGTGCAATTCTGTTGGAAAAGTTCACCAAATCTAACCATAAAATTGTGTCATTGAAATCGTTTATTCTACATGTCTTATTAAAAAAATAAAATAATAATCCAAAAATAAACCACTAGCAGTAATCAGACTCTAAAAAAAACAAATCTGTGTTCGTTAACACAACTAAGAAATCATTAGTGACTCAGCTGTGACCAACAGTCGCATAACAAAAAACTCAGGGACTGAACTGCAGGCTGTGTTTACAGAAAACAGGCAGGTGTGGTACAACTTTAACATTTTTAGCGGCAAAATATCTATAATATGTATGGCCACCATTTCTTACAATACTGCTAACATCTGTGGGCACTTGAAAAAATGCTGGACATAAGGATTCAACATCCTTTTCAATTAATATTTGAAGAGTTCATTTGCAAAAACAGATAACTCCATCTTTGTAGATTTTCAGAAAACTTTTTGTTGTTGTTGTTTGCTTGAGATAACAGCAATCAAACTGAAGTTGAGTGGATTTGACTCAGTAGAAATGACAAAAATAGAGATAACTTAAGTTTGATTGACATCATCTCAGGTAGACGATGGAAAAGTGGGTTTTCTGGAGATTTGTGAAGACGGAGTTATTGGTTTTTGCAAATGAACTCTTAATTTCTTTTTTATGGTTTATGGCATTATACATTTGTTATACTGCACACAAGAGTTTGAGTTCTCTCTACTTCTAACTGTGGTTGTGCCTTTTCCACTAAGGACTAGGACTTTAAATTGCAGAAAAATGGGACAGGGACAAAAAACATCGACACACTATGTACAGTTCAGCGTGTTTATACAAGCTTCTTCCTATAATCTATCTTTCAAGAAGGTAATAAAGTTCAGTTTTTGTTGACATTGTTGAAATTGTTTACTACTGAGGTCACAGGTTTTGTAGCAAACGTGTTTTCTCTCTCCGTTTCTTAATATACGAAACATCCCCACCAATACTTGTAATCTAAATAATAATTTGAGTAAAACCTTTATTACTGTCAAAATTGAACATCGTAGGCAGAATAGAAGAGGATTTTATGGCACAACTGTCGGCCAAAACAATATTCCAAGACCAGTTTCTCAAGTGATTTCCGGAAAATGTCCTTTATCACATGATATATCAAGACTGCCATATAAAATGATGTACATGGCAGAGTGCTTCATCCAAGTTGCCCACCCCTGCACAAAGGGATCTCTGCATTCTTGAGTCCATTCATGCAGTTAAATTACATCACACATTACTCAACAGGCTCGGTGGGAATCAGGACCTGCTCGACAACGGAGCTCAGGTGTCAAACTTGCTCGCTTCTTCATTCATGCAGGCCCCACTACTTCCTGCATGCACACACATACATCTCAGGTATCTTTAGCAAACAAACACCCCCTGAGGCAATATATCATAAGCAACAACGTTTAGGATTTCCTGCAATATAGAACAAAGCAGTCCAGCTTTTATCCTCTCGGTATAATCTGATGGCTGCTATGTGCTGATACGGAGGAACAATCAGATATACGTGCTACTCTTTGTTTTCCTAAATTTGAAATCTGCATACTGACTGTCTGGTTTATTTTAAGCAACATGAGGGCAGGGAATGCTGTAGCACTGTAAACAATGTCAGCAGCCTGCCATTAATGAATGAACGCAGCAAGAAAACAACTGATGACACACTGACTTCCTTAATGTCACATAACAGAGAATCTGCATCTGTTGTGAAACAACTGGTCAACACCCAGTCGGCGTAATGAGGTCAGTATCAAGTTCAACAATGATTCAGTATCAGACTGATGCATCCTGACCTGCATTCGTCATACCAAGTTTGCATAAAGAAACATGCTCAAAGTATGACACAACAGACTTGAACATCACAGACACAGTTTGCTGCCAAAACCACAACAACATTTTTCATTCAATTTGCTCCACAGGTTTTACATCTATTATCAATAGAAATTTTTGTTGCATCCAGCTGTTTTTTAAGGATTCTTTCCACAGGGTTTTGTTGAATTCATGCAGCATCAGACAGCAGCAGCATCCATATGAGCGTGGGAGGAAGTTAACGTCATTAATTGCGTATAATTCTAAATGATCCCCGACATGGAGACAGGATGGATCAGGATATAACAGCAGGTCACACTGTGAACTTTTCCTCACCCCAGACAGGTGAGCTATCACACAGAGTCAAAGTTTATCAGCTGCAGATAAACAACTTCTTACACCGCAGCTGTGTTGAGGTCCAGTTTGGCTACCATCAATCATGAATAAAGTAGGTTGGCTATTTGAAGAGTTTGCTGCTATCAGTTAGATTTTTGTTTATTGTAATGCATTACACATCAGTCATTGTATTGTCTAATCCTGCGACAAAGGGACGTATGATTAAATGACAGAATGCCGTCACTGTAACAGATTCAGGCAAGAATGTCACTTATCCCAGGTCAGAAAAGGGCTACGGTAAGATTTACACTTTTCAGTATTTGCAGCAGGGCTGTTGGATTAAACTGCTTTAGTTTAGCGGAGTGTAATCCTCAGCTGAGTGTGTGTGTGTCACTGAATGTTTGTGGGTCCCGTTATAGTTCATACCCAAACGCTCTGCTGTCAGGCAGGTTGCTGTGAGCCTTGATCCCTGGAGGAATGACCCGAACCTCTGTGACCAGCACCCCGCAAGGAAACCGCACCACATCCACGTTGGTTAACTGAAATGCACAAAACATCAAAATTCATATAGTTACGTTAAACAAAATTGATTTAATAATGTTGCATTTAGCAGCATCGGCCACAGCAAACACTGCAGACGAGAACAGTTACTTTTCTTCCGGCTGGGAGGTAAACACGGCCAGGTTAAAGTTAGCATTTGCCACCTGGCTAACTAGCAAACAAACCGTGCAAACATGCTACAGGAGCAGCTGCGTGGAGTTTTGCTATTATCTAAATTCAGTCACCTTTAGTAAACGTGTTTGGGAGAGTTAAGTGTAAAATTAGGCAGGTGTGCAGTGAAATGAAAGCTGTGAGCTGCAGCGTTATTAATAACGAATTGTTAATGTTAGCCCAGCTAGCACGTTAGCTTGGAAGTTGAACATCATTCTCCAAAACTCCCTAAAACAATCGATGAGAGTTTTTAAAGCAGGCAGCTTTGCAGTAAACACACAAGAGTGTGTCGAGGCGTCAGAAATCTTACCTCTGCACTCTGGTGCTTAAACGTATCCAGAAAAAGAAGCTCCGTTGAAGTGTCCCCCGCCATCCTGCTGCTGCTAGCCGGGCCAGGGGTAAGCTTCCGGGTCGGCGAATACTTCCGGGGCAAGCCAACCAATCACCGACAAACGACTGTAAACAAAAACAAATATTTGAACATTTATTAAATTATTATTCCTATTTCTACTATATGGAGCTGTAAACATAAGCATTTTTTTTAGCTAAGCTTTAAATTAACTCAATCATTTCCGTTTTTAAAAGAGGTATGGGAACATGGCAAAATTTGGGGAAAAAAATCATTTTAATCTACTTCATATTATTACTATTTCCAAAAACAAACAAATTAGCAAAACATCAAACAGGAGCAAACTTATGTAACTTTAAATAAATACATATATTAAAAAAATATTATAACATTGGTACAATCGTTGTTATTGTTGTATGGCAATTAAAAAAATTGAATATTATCATTATTATTGTCATTACTCTTTAGCACTATTTGTCTTCTTATTCTTCCTCTTGTGTTATCATCGTTCCAGATTAAATAACTGATAATATTAGATGTATGCATGTTTATCTGTAGATCGTATATAACCGTATATGTTTTTATCAGGTAAACAAGGGTGAATCGACAGTTGATCTCTTTTTAAGGGTTTATATCATAATTTTATTAATTGTGTGTGTGTGTGTGTGTGTGTGTGTGTGTATTTCAGGACAAAATCAAAATTTGCTTTAGATGACTATGGTTTTCGTCAACATTAAACAAATACACACATAAACAGAACATGTGAAAAAAAAATAAACCGTTAAATAAATCCTGAAATAATATAGAAACAATTTAGTAAGTATACAGATAAATACAATTAAATACGTTTTTATTTTAAAAATGACTTATGTTAGACTTTTTTTCCTCATGCCACATTTTCTGATTTGAGAGTTTATGTCTCTATTTTTCGTTATTTCGTAGGAATAATTATTAATTCATGTATGTGTTTCATAGTGAATTAAAGGCGAATTATGTGGCAGGTAGATCTGTGCATTTTACTCCACATGTTGTTGAAAACAGAACTAAAAAGCCTTTTAGATTAAGTTAAAACATCTTCAAAGAACCAAAAAGAAGCCAAAAAAACGGAAATAAATGCTAAACATGAAGAATTAGAGCTACTATTAGTGTCCTCCATGCGCTGCCACGTCCTTATGTCTGAGCCACCTGAAAGAGGAAGGGGGCAGGTAGGGAGTCACGTGGTCACACAGGTAGACTCACTACAAAAACGGGGAGCGTTCAGCCATTACTCCGAGATGGTGACTGCGGGAGGCTTCACGTAGAGACAAAAAAAATCCAGGCGCACGCGACGACAAAACTCGGATTTACGGAGCTCACCTTTGCGCTCAGGTGTCTCGGTGAAGGTGTGTTTCCTACCTGCGGCTCCTCCCGCGTGTCTCCCGCCGCTGTCCGGTAGTTGTGTAGCAGTATCACGGGCAGTTTTGCGGCTCTCGGTGCCAGGATGACGGCGCAGGTAGATTACCTGGCGGTGCTGTTCGCCGCCACATCTGGCGCGAGCGGAGAGCTGCTGGGCTCCGACGAGAAGGAGCTCGTGCGGTTGGTTTGGCAGCTCGTGGATGTGAAGAACAAAACGGTAAATACATTATTCTTAAAAAGAAATTCTTTCTGGTTGTTTTTTTTAAAGGGATTTCGCAACAGGTAGTGTAAAGAGTTGACAGGTAAACAGAAGTAACAAACAGTATCACACCACGCTCACACCTTTATTCGATTAAAAGGTGAACCAAGTGAGTTTTTGTACGATTTCTCTCCCGAAAATCACAAAAAAGTTGAAAATAAACTCACATGCGGTAGTTTACATCTTAATGTGAGCTGATTGAACAGATTCTAGCTTTTCTTGCTCATTGGTGTCTAAACAGCTGTGTAATAAACACTATTTTACAGGCATTTGACTAGAGCTGCAACGATTAATCGGTTAATTGCTACGTTGCTTCTCCTGGTTGAGTCCTTTTTAGAAGGAAAAACAGTCAAAAGCTTCAGCTTCATAAATGTGGATATTTTTTTGGTTTCTTCCCTCCTCGAAGACACTAAACTGAGTATGTTTGGAGTAACTCAGATCCCAACAGTTATTTATTTGGTCAAGATATATTAGTGGGGAAAAAAAGTTAATTTTGTCCAAGGATAACCAGTTTGCTAACAAACAAGCAAATTTACACACCTGAGACAATGGCTGCAATGATTAGTCGATTAGGTAATCACCAACTGTTTTGACAATTGATTCATGGGTTTGAAGTTAATATGTCAAAAATTTCTGATTCCAGCTTCTTAAATGTGATTTTTATCTGATTTGTTTCCTCCTATACGACAGCAAACTGAATATTTCTGGATCAATTCTGGTCCCAACTGTATTTTCCTCGATCCAACAGAAATTCTTTTCGACTATAAAGAGTCACAACATAGTGAAAAAAGTTAGTTTTGTCTTTTTTCCTCGCTGACAATCCAAAGATAATCAGTTTACCATCACAACTACTTAAAATCCAGCAGGTTTACACACCTGACAGGAGAGCCGCAATGATTAATCGATTAATCAGCAACTATTTGATTAGTCGGTTTAAGTTATTTATTTAGAACAAGGCGATTGCAGCTTCTTAAAAGATTTTCTGGTTCTATTTCTGTTCTATCTTTGATGTTACCCATTAACTATGGGAAAGACTGATCAGCATTTTTCACTGTTTTCGGACATTTAACAGACCGAGCAACTAATCAATTAATCGTCAATGAAAATAATAATGGCTGTAGCTTGTACTGTTACTGTTTGTGAACTATGATCAATGATGATGTTGATATATTAACTTAAAAGGTGATGATATCTGAGTGCTGTGTTTCCAAAGCCTCCAAAATGACCAAAAAACTGATTACTGCCTGTCCCATGACACCTTTTTTTTGCATTAGAGCTGCTATTTTGCTAATTGATTAATCGAGTTGAGTCAAAACACGAATATTTTCTGCTTTCTTTCCTCCTCTGTGACAGTAAACTGAACATCTTTGCAGACAAAACAAGACATTTGTCATGTTATGCTTTGGGAAACACTGATCCAGATTTTATAGGCCAAACAAATAATCAATTAATCACGAGAAAAGTCAACGGTGACAATAATCGTTAGTTGCAACGCTGCAGTTGCTGCTCCAGTCCTTTGAGGCTCGTGGGTTTCTATTTGCTTCAGGACTAACTTGTTCTTGTGTTCTGCGAACCAGTTGAGCAAGGTGAATGAGCTCCTCATTAAGCCAGACCTCGCAGACCTGACAGAGGAGAAGGAGGAGGAGGATGTGGTGGCGGAGGGTGAGGAAGAGGAGAGCGGATCCGGAGCCGACTGTGTCTCCACGACGACGAGTGTTGAGGCTGCTTTAAACCTGGTAATAGTCTGTCTGAAGTCACTAGAAATACAGTCTTTTTGCCCTTTACTACTTAGACTTAATGATGCAACATGGGGGCCGATACAAATACTGATTCATAGTAGTCATGGAGAGCGATAAGTAATGTTTGGATCTAAGATATGTATAGATATTTGCAGTATAAGTGAAAATCCTGCTGTAAAAATTGAGAAAAACACAAAATCTGCTTAAAATGTCTTTAATTAAAAACATTTTCCTGTCAGTGTTGATTGGCTGTTACTTGTAAATCAGAGAAGGCAACCAAAACGTGGCACATTTAAGGTTCAATAATCTAAAAAATGTTGCTGAAATTGCTAGAAATACACTTTATAGCCCTTCATTTCATTGTAATTCTGAATCTCTGCATGTAGTTTCCAGGCGTTTTCTGCTACTGTCCTATTTTTCCCCACTGTGGGCTCATTTTTCACTACAACATAAAGTCCTGTGTCTCTGTGAAAGCAGCACAGTCGTGGCTAGAAGTAGAGAAAACTCAGAAATGTGCAGGATGACACAGTCAGAACACCATAAATCGTAAAAATGCCAAAGCGAAAGTGGAGTTTCTTTGATTATTTGCTGTACATTAATTGGAAAGAAACACTGAATCAACATGTGGAGCATTTTTCCAAGTGCCCTTAATACTAGAAAATAAAGTGGTGATTCTACATATTGAAGATCGGTTACGATTTGCATGTTTAATTAGTTTCCATACGTGCCTCCTCTCTGCTTTGTGTAAACACTTCCTGCAGTTCACCTGAAAATCTGTGAATGTTTGTCACATAACTGTAGGCCACAGCAGAGTCATTATCGGCTTCATGGTTGTGCTGAGGAGCTCAATATTTTTGTTTTTTGCTAAATCTGGTTAGTGAAAAAAGTTTATTTTTAAAAAGAGGTGTGGAATAAAGTGGTTTTGATCAAATATATCTGTATAAAGCTTAGATTTAGTGAAGTTTTTGAAAGTTACACATTGATTAGTTCAAGAACCAGCTGAAAGTTAAAAATCCTACAAATTTTTCAGCTTTTATGGTTTCTGGCTCTGATAAATGATGTAATTTTGGTGATTTTTTTTTAAAAAAAAAAGATAAGATTCCTTCTGGGGTTCAGAGGGTTGATACAACTCTGGTTAAAATGCCTGATCATGATTTTTTTCTTCCCCCCCTCCTTTTAATGTTTTGCTTTCCCAGTTTCATCTACACCTGACAAACGAGGTGAACAGCGCGGGCGCAGGCACGTCGGTGTGTTTGTGTACAGACGGGCAACTTCACATCCGTCAAGTGATTCACCCCGAAGCCGCGAGCAAGGTGAGCAAGCTGCCGGGCGGGTGAACGCCTCGCAGCCAGGGCGGATGTTCTCTGGCTGCTGCAGGAACCTTCGCCTTCACACACACAAAGGGAAGCGTCGTGTCAGCACTGCGTTTCCCAGATGAATTTAGTGTTACAGGTGAAAGCTGATCTTCGGGAGGGAGACGCTCCTGCAAACCTGTCCAATGACTCACGCCCATGCGCATACCGTGCTCATAAAGACTGAGGAAACTCTCCCGCTTGTGTTCACACTTAAAAAAGCAAACAGCAGAGCAGTAAACCGGCAGCTGTAGATGGACCACCTGTTCACATCCTCTT